ACAATCGACGTCAATTTTTTTTTTGTTAACAACCCAGAAATCATGCGCTATAAATATGGAATGGAGGTGGCCTATCTGTAACTGATTTTTAGGCATGAATGTAATTAATCACTATCTATTAGGTATATACACAATTAAATTATTATGAATGGTAATATTGCAATTTCTTCCCAATCGTGTGGGATGAATAAAAATTTCCCAACTATATATGTTTGTGGTTCCGGCTTCCTTCTCGTAATATATCTCAGTTCACTTCCTGGCCGGTTGTTTTCCCCGTGGAGGCGGCGGCGGCGGCTTCGTCAGGATTGGTAAGTATTGTAATTTTATGTTGGTCCCTTACTTGATTCTTATTGATTTGTATGTGTTTTCTGATAATCGAATCTTATTTTTTTCTAGTTTTGATCCAGACCTAAACTGTATCATAATTTTCTTATCTAGTTTGAAATAGCATACAGTGATATGAAAATGAATCCTGATTAGACCATAATTGAGTCTCTTACTATACCGTCATGTTCTAACTACCATCTGTCTTCCTACCCGTAAACTGTGTCTCGAAGTTGGAGTGTGATGTGCAGAAATTGAAACAGATTGGTGAGATGTTAAAATTAAGAACCCTAATTAGGCCAAAAATTGGATCTTTATTGTATGTATCATCAAGTTCTAATATATATTTGTTGTGTTAGTTGTTGGAATGGAGAAGAAGTCGAAAAGAAGATCACGTCCATCCGAGGATGATGATGATGATGTAATAGAGATTAGATCTTCTCCAACCGGTGCGCAAACGCATCTTGAGATGGAATATTTTTCTCCAACCGATCTGCAAACTCAAACGCAAAATGCGTATTTGGTCATTTTCTCTCTCCTCTCAACGCAAATTTGCGTTTTACTGTTGATGAACGCAAAAAAATTAAAATCTTTTCAATATGGTCCTTCAGTCTGTTGTTCTTTTATTTTAGTATATAATTGGCTATTTTTTTTTTAAGTTTTTTTCCTTTTCTACATCTGTGTTTCGCGAAATGTAGAGTATATATTCCTATGCATTGTTTAGTAATTTTTACATCTACCCATATACATAATACAATTATATATAGTACTTTTTATGTTTTATAGTATCATATATTTACTTATAAGATTTTCTATGTATTTTATTTTGTATGTTTTATACTATTATATATTTTAGTATGTATTTTGATACATATTTTGCATTGGTTTTTTCATTTTCTATTGTCTCATAATAAAATATATAACTAGCAAAAATTTGATTTCTCATTTTGTGCGTTTTAATTTTTAATTTTTAATTTTATTTTTATTTTTTAATGTGCGTTGTAATTTTTAATTTTATCTTGTGTGTTGTAATTTTTAATTTGCGTTGTAATTTTTAATTTATCATCTTGTGCGTTATAATTTTTAATATTATATTTTGTGTTGTAATTTAAAATTTTAATTTTTAATGACTATTTATTTATTCGATTTTATTATGTATATGATTATAACTTTATAATAAGTTTATTACATAAAGTACAAATTGAATTGAAAATAATAGTGTGGTTTAATTTGTAAAATTGTAAAATATATAGGTAGTATTGAAAAGTTGTAAAAGTTGATGTAAAAGAGAATATTCCGAGAATATTCTTTTGAGTTGGATAATGGGTTTTTCGGTTGGAGATGAATTACTGCAAAATGGGATAGTTACTGCAAAATGGGTTTGAGTATGAAGTATTCGGTTGGAGATGGCCTTAAGAGACTGATTGAGAGACCAAGAAAACCACGCCAGCCTTTTGCATTTCCAACAAAATTGTACGGTTGCAAGTGCACATTATTGGAAGATGATGAGGAGAGCAATAAAGCTGATCCTCAGTGAGTTGTTCAATCTCGTCCCTCATGTCCGAATCAACTTCCGAGTAGATTACATTCTCCGAAAGATAGTTGGCGGCCGAATTGTTGAGGAGACGGTTTGTTCGACCCATAGATGCTTCTACATACGCTTGTTTCTCATCACGCAATTCGATTTCTACATGCATATGATCTGTGTTCCCGATGAAGATGAATATTGTCAGGTGAGGCAAGGGCTAGAGTATGACATTCAGCACCCGGAGACCTTTCTTTTCAAATTCCTCAGCTGTCACGGAGTCAATGACAAAGCTTTTATTCATAAATTTGTGGACGACACCAAAGATTTTGTCACCAAACTTAGAACCAAGGCATTTGATATGATTGGGTCTGACCGTAGGGTTTACCCCATCGCTATGCATATCAGACTCTACACAAAGCAACTGGAAAAGAGACTATTGATGATGCCAGGTGGCGGGCCATAATGCCCGACCCATCGCATGTGGAGCTTGGGGATAAGCTCATTAAGCTTCTCTCCACTCCCCCGCCTTACAAATTTCTGATAGAATTAGAAAATGACAGGCACCAAATGAATTGCGGTACTTGTTCGGGCAAGCTTCGTTTTCAAGACTACATATTTTTCTTGCCGTGCTCTCATGCCTATCATCATTCCTGCATAGCTCATTGGGCGAAACGGAAAATACAATGTCAGGTGTGCCTCGAGTACGTGGATTTTCGGAATTTTCTTGAGTGTGCTGTCCTTCGGACTAGAGATTCTGGCCTCAACTAGATAGCTTTCAAGGCTACTTGGCCTCAACTTTCATTCTACTGAACCAACTATTTATTATGTCTTTCCATTAGTTCTTCATAACTGTGTTTTTCGATTTATTATTCTGGTAGTGCATTTCATGGGTTTGGATGCTTGAATAAGACCAATGAGATAATATATGCAAGATCTTGAATATCAAAGGTTAAAAACTATCTTTGTTGTTTGCCTGGGAAACTAAGAGTTGAAGTGATGACTGAATGTGCCAGCATAAATTAGAGGGTATACTTGTATACATTTTTTAAACTTGTTCTGTT